GGCCCCCCCAGTGCCCAGCACAGGGGCACGGTCCCTGCCCTGCTCCTGCTGGCCACACCACTCCTGATACAAGCCAGGATGCCACTGGCCCTCTTGGCCACCTGGGCACCCTGCTGGCTCCTATCCAGCCCCCTGGCGACCAACCCCCCCAGGGCCTTTTCCGCCGGGCAGCTTTCCAGCCCCTCTGCCCCACGCCTGGAGCGCTGCCTGGGGTTGTGGTGACCCCAGGGCAGGACCCGGCCCTTGGCCTTGTTGCCCCTCACCCAACTGGGCTGGGCCCATGGCTCCAGCCTGGCCAGGTCCCCCTGTAGAGCCCTCCTCCCCTCAAGGGCACATGAATTTGAGCACTCAAACTAGAGAAAAGCCTAAGATCTGGGTGCCTGTTCTGTCTCCCGAGCTTCTGTGCATAATACCCCATCAAGCTATATCAACACTGACTATTTTTTTCTCTCCAAGACAGCTGCCTTGCTGAGTGCCCAGAATGGATGATGCTCAATAAAGGAAATCGCTATTCAGTATTATCCTCATTCATGTGTTCGGCCAGTGCCTTATTTGTCATTCAGGTCCTGCTCTAGAACCAGAAACTTCTTCACAGGCGTTTTCCTATTCCCCTCACCACTGCAGTGAGTTAGTCTGTTCTCCCCAAACCCACAGCACCCATGACTTTACCAAAGGGGAACAGAGGAGCGGAATCATTAACTGCAGGGTTTGGCAGCAGCATCTGGCACCCGGGGTCAAGGGAAGGATACAGCTATGCCGTCAGGGAGTGCGGGGAAGGCAGCCAAGCCAGCCGTGCAAATCATGCATGCGGGTCCACAGTGCAGCAGGAGTGGGATGAAAATTAAAAGTACCCTATTGTACTGTATCAGCACAGAGGCACCGAAACCACAGCACGTGGGCAACAGCCCCGTTTGGGAGGAAAGCTGCATCCTTATGTAATGTTTTAACAAATAAAAAGAGCTGACAGCACGGATTACACTCAAACCTACAGAGCAGCACCACTGCTGTGGTATGGACTGGGCTCAGAGAAACAAAATGTTTGCAGGAAAATTTTCCAATCTCTTGAAATAAATGTAACCTCACGCTATTCTGCAAGACAAAATGGAGCCCTGGCACTGAGCTACGCTGCAGCTAGACGATTAATAGACATTTGAACATCTAGAGACTTCTGCTCTGGAGGAAACCCATGCTTCGAATGCAGTACATCAACTCGCAGAACACAGCTGCCTGGATCCATGTTTTTCCAGTGGTTTCAACACCTTTTTTCTTTCCCAGAAGTGCCTCCTTTTTTCAAATTAGATATAAACCAATCCCCATAGAAAGGAAAATTTCCCTGTGGCCATCCCTCATACAGACAGCCCCACGAGCAATATGTTCTTATTTATACACTGTGCTGCCTGAGGACTTTGCTTCTGTCAAATAAAAAATAAGTTAATTAATTGCCTTTCCTCCAGAAACATCAGCCTGGGCTTCTCCTGTCCTCTATATTTATTTATCCTTCTTAGTCAACCCAGGCTTCCCAACTTCCTGCATCTTATCAGCCCCACTTAAAAGCATCTTCTCCCTCCCCCTTTTCTTTTTCCATCTAAACTTCCCTTCCACTTCCTCTCCCCTGTCCCAAAACCCAAACAAACCCACATTCTTATCCCCTAATAGAGGCTGATTTATGGGTTTGCGTCAGCAGCCGCTCTCCTGGCCAGACCCAGCTTTAATGGACACATTTCAGCTGCTGCCAAGTGGTACGTGACAACATCTGGGAAGCAGGGCTGCCATCAGCACAGGGCCAGCAGCGTCAGGAACGTGAGACAGGCAAGGGACGGCGTGACGCAGTGGAGCGGGAGAGGACGTGCATAGTTGTTGTCTTCAGAGATGGAAAGCGAAATCCTGAATTCAATCAGTTATTCCTCAGAGTGCAACACTGGCGCACACGCAAGTCAATTAAGTCAAATAAAGGAAGAGACGTAGGCTAAACAAAGCTCTTGGCTGAGACTTTGGGTTTAATCTAGAACAGTGGAAGGAGGAAAACTGTGATTTCAAGAGTACTTTCAGAGCAAGGCATTCATCCAGGGCTGTTCTCATCCCAACATCTCCATGGGCCTGCTCTGCACTAACAGTGATACCTGCCCCTCTTCCTTCCATAAACTTTCCATCCACACGAGGCACACCTGAGCGTTCTGGAGCACCAGTGCCAGCCTGCAAGCCATATTCAAACAGACACTGCTCCCATTTCATTGCATGACAAAAGGATCTGGATATTCAGACCCCGAAACAAAGCAATTAGAAGCCTAGGGTCTTTGCACATTTAGTAAGGACTGCACGTGAGGTTAAAAAGCCAATCCTGACCTTCTGAAGAAGCGCGTTTTCCTGCTGCGCCCAGGGCACTCTGGATGGCGGCTCCACGGAGGGTGATGCCAGGTCCCCAGCTCTGCCCCAAAGCCAGCCAAGGGTCCTGGAGAGCAGACGAAGCTGTTGCAGAGCTGCTGGCTCAAAGCCTAACACTGACTGGAGCGGTTACATTAGCAATTGGAAGCAGTAGGCAACAGCAGATTCAGCTAAAGCCTTAATCTGGTCACCCAGAGCAGTTTTTAGCGCACACAGATCTGTGAACGTGAAGAAGACAAGCTTAAGATTTGTACACAGAATATAGTGAAGTTTATTCATATTAAATACATCTACTCGCATCGCTACTTGTCACATACTTGTTCTCCAGGACACGGAGTTCATTCCCACTCACTTGAGGAGACAGAGTTTTTACTTTACATAGAATAGAGCTACCCAGAGTTTTCCCTGAATAACATATCACTGAAGCTAGCAAAACCAATACAAACGAGGTTTATTCAGTACAAACTATACAGAGATTTTCTTGTTACTGGTCTGGGGAGTTATGCACAAGGACAAAATGATTCCAAATATACATAGACAGCTGGAATTCAAGCGTCTCCAATATCCACACTAGTCAAACCCAAGATTTATGGTATTTAGACACTTGAGTCCTGGTCTGGATTCCAATTCTTCTCCCTGTATCCATTCAGTTTGTTTAAAATAATAAGCAAAATCCAACACCAGTCCTTTTAAAGGATAAGCAGATTTTGCCAAAAGTAACAGTGGCGTGGGAAACAGCTTGCTTCTGAAGCATACGTCTGCTGAGTAAATGAGCTCGGTCAGCCTGACCAGAGGAATTGTCTAACAAATGCACGACGTGTCCATTACCTCATGCAAGCGCAGCTTTCACCCTCTTGTACACACCTGCCTCCCAATCTGGTTGTCTGGAGTAACGGAAGCATTTCCAATGGACAGGGAGCAAAAAGGAGAATTTAACTATGGCATTTGTCTGCAAAGGTAAACCCAAAGGTAACCATGATCTCACTGAAAACAAACTCTATAAACAGTTAGGAAAAACGAGCGTCTTTGCTGCTGAAACGGGCTCATCTATTTTTGGAAAAATTACTAGAATTGCTTTGCCCAAGAAGAACTTTGTGCAAGCAACCAGTGTTATGTAACCAAAAGAGGAAAAATAAAATAAATCACATGTTCTTCCCGCCTAATGTTGCAATCCTTTTGGTCAATTCTGTGTTCAAGCCCCCACCCCCCCAACCGAAAAACCTGCAACACCTCAAAACAAGGAACTGGCACCTTGTGACTGACAGACTTCATCTACAATCCTGCGATATCCAGGGCAACTAGCAGTTCTTACCGCCCACCTAATTACAATACAACTAAATACATTGGTCAGTCATCGAAATCTGGGATATCGTCGTAGGAATAGCCCCGGTAGCCTTTGGAAGCGTAGTATGCAATGCGTAAGTGGTAGAAGCCTGGGAGAAACACCAGGATCCCAATGATGAGCACTGGGATAGCACGGTCCGTTCCCTGCAGAGAAAAGATACACAAGTGCAGTAAGGAGAGATCTGTATGGGGGGGGGTGTCTTTCCTTTTCCTTAAGTCCTGCCCTCAGCTATTCATCCCTAAAGCCTGGCTAGCTGACAAAAAAATAAAAATTCATCTTAAATCAGAAATATCTCCGTTTTCTTCAGGCTGAGCTCTAAGTCCTCTCCCTGGCATCTCCTCCTTGCTACGGGAAACCCTCAACTGAACTTCGGTGGATGGGAGGGGCGGCTCCTCCCAACACTAATCTCATCACAAACCGCCAGCCACAGGCTGGGTGCTGCACGCTTGGCTGAGAGCGAGCGCTCCCGTCGCTGCCTTGACTGCCTCCGATACAGCCAGAACGCTGCTGTTCCCACATGATAAGCAGCAGCTGCCAACTGCAAAGCAATTCCATACGGCAGAAGGTAAAAGTGTGCCACAGAGGAGCACCAAGTCAACCATGAACCACAGATCCCCTTTCAACAGATCATAAATACAGACAGATGAGAAAGGCGGTGCTGCGTCCTACATAGCCGTCTGGTATCTCCTGCAGAAGTTACAGGTGATCACCACTAGAAGAGTGATGATCCCAGCATGAAGTTTGTTTTCCAGGACAGCAAGCTGAGCACTGTGGGGCTGTAGTGTTAGAATGAAACCATACCCCAGGGAGGACAGAGGAACTCAGCCCTCCCTGCCAGATCTCCTATCCAGCTACGAACCTGCTCCAGACTTGCTAACAGAAGACATCAGTGGGCTCTGCTGCCAGAGAAATGGGGCTGTCAAACACCACCAGGGCAGGCACTGGGAGGGGCTGCCCAGGGAAGGGGTCGAGTCCCCACCCCGGGGGGGATTTAACAGCCGGGCAGAGGCGGTGCTGAGGGCCAGGGTTTGGGGGTGGGATGGCAGGGGTAGGGGAGCAGTTGGGCTTGGGGAGCTTAAAGGGCTTTTCCAACACAAACCATTGTATGATTCTATTCTATGATTCTAGGGGAGGGGATTAATTTCTTGCTTACAGGCTCTGAATTTTTATTTTTCCACTGAGCATGATGGTTCATGGCAAGCTTTTTTGGAACAGGCAAGCAACGCAAAACTCCTAACAGAAGGGTAATCAAACTACTTACGCCTTTGCTAATGTATCCTGCCAAGAGCAGGGCTCCTATGATAATGAGGAAGGTCCCAATCATGAAGAGCACAATAGCCAGTGCAATTGCCTTGTAGGGGATTTTTGGCGGGCTCTTCTTGAACTGGATGGAGAAAAAAAACCCAAATATTAAACGGCTTAACTCAGCACAGCTCCCCTCCCACTACAGCAGAGATGCAAATCCCACAGCTAGCAGAGGTGATACGGGGCAAGCTGTTGCAGCAGCCGTGCTGCGGGGCTCTGTGAGGGCCCTTCTGCGAGGAATCCTGCCCATGGAGACCCAGCTGAGCCAGCATTTACACCTGCTGCTTCCAGATCTGCTCTGACTTTCACCTCCCTCCAAAGAAACGCATCTGACCCTATTAAACAAGCAATCCTGTTCCCAGTTAAGCTCTACAGGCTTTCTGGAGGAGAAGGGCTGAAGCAGTGTCTTGCAGCTAGCTTTGTACTGTTCTGAGCTGAGGCTGCTCTCCTGGAGATGAACAAAAAGCAGCCTCCCATGCACACACAAATCTAGAGCAGCCTTTCCTAGAGGTTCACAGAGCAGCAGAAAGGTGTTTTCTTTCCCACTTTTTACCTGCAGGTCAATATATCCATCATCAGTGCTGGAGAGCTTGGAATACTTGACTTTGCTGCTGGGGATCCCAGCAGTCAGATTGGTACGTGACGGCATCATTACAAGGAAGCCTGGGCATCAGCTAGAACCTGGAAAACAAAGAGAACAGCAAGGAAAAAAAAATCAGAGCAAACTGGTAAGAGTGAGAGATGGATCGAGTTTAAGAGAAACAGCAGTGTCAATCCTGTACACCAAGAGGCATCTTTGTTCTTTTTCATAAGTTAAATCTTTTCAAACAAAACCTTGTATTTAAGGCTAAAACACAAATGCATGAATATTGCTTTCAAATATTGGCAAGCCCTGTTGCAGTTAAGTCAAACTGACGTAGAACTCGTGTTTAGAACAATGTAGAAGTCCCAGAATAACATACAGCGTATAAACCAGCTCTCATTTCTCAAGGAAATCACACTTCCAGCAGGGAGATGCCTGAGGTCCAGCTATTTCTAAACAGGGACAGTAGCAAATAAACCCAAACCAGAATTAAACAAAGCAGCCTTTCAAACCAGCCGGGTATTTTGCAATAGATCCATTTTGCAAAACATGCCACTAGAAACGAGAATGAAATGGAGCTGTCATGCCCGAGACTGCTCGAGTTGTGACTCAGAGGGAACATGACGAGGGGATGGAGTGGTTAGTGGATGAGGTAACCAAAAAACCAGCAAGGAGCTAAAAAAGTGGAGGTCACTTGTCTGTGTAGCTGCGAGGGAGGCAGCGTTCAGGGCAGAGTTTAATTTAGTTAAGCCAGAGCTGTACCCTGCAATTTCACCACGCCATGAAGCCAAGCCCTGCAGTTTGGCTGCCAGCAGCGACAGTTCCGGGGACAGGGGCAGAGCCAGCTTTCTTCTGCACCTTGGAGCCCAACTTCTCAGGAGTTGAGGCCTGGATCCAGCCTGCCAACACCCCCCGACTCGCTGCGGAGCCATCTCACAGGGCCTGACAGCTCCTCCCAGTGGGACCTGTGTGTTGGGTGTCTGCTCACCTGCAGCCTTGAACCCACACTGCAGCCCAGGGCTACGATTCCCAGAAGTGAGGCAGAAAATCAGCTTCCCACACTCCCTAACTGCAAAAGCTTTTTTATTTTCTGAGAAAGCACAGAATGAAAAAGTGCACATCCCCACTGTTCCAACAGGCAGGGACAAAGCTGCTTTTTCCATAACACTATCACTACTGCTAAGGCAATAGCATCTCCTCAAAATATTTAGTCTCCAACTGAAATGCTCTGTCTCCCTCTTGCTAATCACTGGCCTATTCCCCTGCCATCAGGTTTGTTCCTCCCGCAGTAAATTTGACTTTTAAAAAAGGAACCGATCCACAGCTGTACATTTAACTTCTTGCTTTTTTTGTAGCAAAACCCAAGCACAGACAAAACATTTCTGGCCCCATTGATAATGGAAGTGTCACCCACCTACCAGTAAAGGAAATGTCACCCACCTACCGGGTGGTAACTCACACCCTCAGCTCCTTACGCACCCATGTTTTTCAGGTCACAGCACTCAAATACCCCCAAGGCCTCCCACGTGCCCCAGGGCTAGATATGCAGGAGGGGAAGGAGCCAAAACAAATCAGCACATCTGAAATGTGTTGGACTTCCCAACATTTTACTCTCAGGTACCACAGAACTTTTTACTGCCTGTCCCATTATTTACCAGGCTATTCCTAGTGGCTTCCTAGGAATTATTTCCAATTTACACTCACATAAGTTGTCCTGCCCTTTTCATTGCCAACAACAAAGAGGCTATTAAGGACAAACAAAAAAATACTCTCAGAGCTCACGTTTAAGGGCCAGGTTCAAGTCCACTAAGCTTCACCCTCCTTGTGCTCTACATCAGTTCAAGATCAGGAACAAGCTCAGTGCTGTGCTAACAGGCAGATAAATGGTGAATCGCACTTGTAATTCCAGTTTTCTAATCCGATGCGCTACGCTCATGTTCTACACGCAGCCAGAACCCGCACTGCCTGGGGGAAGGCTTCCAGGGCAGCGCGCAGGCTCACGAGGGGAGCTTGCCAGTAAATGCAAACACGGCACTTCAAGCCAAAATCCTGTTTATCCCCTAAATAAGAGCGTTATCTTCTTCTACCCTCCCTGCCCAGGAATAAGGAAGTGGAATGTCACTCCTTGCCCTTTCAGGAGCTCAAACCTCACGCCTACCACGATCAACACACCCAACCCCCCTCCTCCAGACCTGAAATGGTTTCTCTGCTGCTGAACAGGAAGTTCACAACATGTCTGGGAACTCCCCCAAAACTGCAAACTGCACACCCGAGCTCACACCGCTCCAAAACACCGATAACACCACACAGAGACTGTTACCTACTGGTCACGCTGCCGGTCAAACCCATCTCTCCCGCTGCCGCTTCTCTTCCGCGCTCCCCCAGCCACAGGAAGTTTATTCCTGATGACAGCGATTTCCTTCCAGGTTATGGCAGCAGCCTCTTGCTGACTCAGCTCCACTGGGTTTATTTTTAGCCTCAGACTCCAGATTAGCAGCTAGAATGACAGTGTCCTTGGGCAGGATGGCACGGACCGCCTCCTGGTCACCCAGGCCCACGAGACCCACCGGAGCCAATCTGTCCTTTCAGGGCTGCATTTGCCGATGGTTTCTGAAGGAGCATGTTCATGCACATTGCTCCTCCCCATACTTTAAAACAAAGCTGCTTTTCCAAAGGAAGAAGTCTGGACATAATTAAACTGCCAGACACAGCACAGCCCTGCAGCAGGGCTGAGTGTGACAGACCAGCTATAGCCAGAAAACTATTTCTAGCACCTGGAACAATATTAACACATTTCAGATTAAATGCAGCTGGGGATCTACTTCCAACTGCTCCAAACAAGGGAACTGCAGGAATTGCCACAGTTCCAGTTCCTTTTTTTACAGTTAGTAAAATACACACTGGATTTAAAAAGCCAAATCTCCTGAAGTTTCAAAGAATTCTCCCCCCCTTCTTATTTCCTTTTCTCCTTGGTAAGAAAGTCTAAAATATTTAAATATATAAACTTCAAAGGCTTATTCTCTCAAACATGGAGAAACAGAGCCTTTAACTATGCATCCCGTTTGTGTTTTTTTTTTTTTAAAGAAGAGAACATCTTAATTTTGATGATTTGGGTACAGCAACAGCAAAGTAAACATTCAGCTTTAAAGATTTATCCAGAAATCAGACAGCACAAGTCAACACACAAGCACACGGGTACTTACATTAGAAGATGTTTCTCGTAACCCAAGGCTCCACAATTTGGTCATTACAGTTGTAAAATTAAGGAATTACAGTATTTGGCTTATTTTTTTATGTGTTTATGAGTAGAAAAGCACAAGGAAGAGTTTGGTAACCCCTACTACAGCAGGAGGTTGCACCAAAAAGACTTTGCTTTCATCACTAGCCCAGCTTTATACAGATCATTAAAACCAGAATCCTTCCTTATTTCAACATCATGAATCTTTGATTCTTTGCTGAAGCACCTATTTACCTGCTGTGCCTGTGGGTACCACAACAGTGATCCAGTCTGAAAAGCACATTTGGAGTGAAAAAAGCCTCCTGGTTGCCTAAAATATCTGCTGCTGTTCTGGGCCATGAGTCGGCATTGCTGAAAAGTTTAGGGCACCTCAAGATCTTGCTTTTGAGATTTTTTTTCTTAAAGGTAGGAATTGATGAGCAAGCTAAGGCAGCTCAAGAGAATAAATGGGGTATGCTCTGGAGACACGAGACAAAGCTCAACACGGGAGCTAAAACCACACAGGCTGCATCACAGCAACAGAAACCCCACCTAACCATCCCCACTAACAAAACAGTGCTGCTACCAATGAAGAATCAAGGGCAGGGGCATTAAGGAGAGTTTCCTATCACAGTGGTAGCCATATTCTGACACAGCAGAATTTGTTTCTTAATCAGTACTGCCACCTTGTGAAATTCTTCTGCTAAATCAGTTGGGGTTTCCAACTGGCAAGTTCACAGGCAGTTTATGCTCAAGATAGCCTTGTACTGCTGACTGGCAGGAAGCACACAGCCTCCGGAAAAAAATAAGCACACCTACAGCACCCAAGAGCCTGTAAGTACTACTTAGCACATAGCACCCATCAAGCCAATTGCTTTTCAGTGTTTCTTAGTTTGTGACAAAGTGGAGCCACTCAGGTGCTGGATGGAGGGCAAAGCTTTATGGCTGGGAGCAATACAGCAAAACAAGCCCCACAGTAGCTGCCTGAAACTGTTTTCAAATCCGATTTTTCACAATCAAACTTTCAGGGTGAAACGCGCTGTAAACCTTGCGTCTTCATTGACATGATGATCACAAATATCCTCAATTAAGAGAGGAATTGCTGGTGGCCCAGGCAAGCGCACCACACTGGCCTGCAAGAAGTGTGTAAGGTGTGGAACACAAAGGCTCCCAACGAATGGGACATGCACAGACCTGCTGAGGAGCAGCTTAACATCAACAAGCCACAAGGAGTAGAGCCAAAGCCAGGGAGGGCTCACCCAGCTCACCATCAGACCAAGGAACTTTCAGTCACTACTACACCGCAGCACATGCCTACGCGCTCTCAGACTTCACCGAGAGCCGGTGACAGCTACAGGAACAGTCCCTGCTACAGGCAGCGCTGGCTTCTGCCACAGCTAATGCATTCTTAAGGAAAACCCGTTTCACAAATCTCCTCTGCTTAAAGAAAACAGCCTCATGGACCAATTAGATATTCAAACTGTAATTATCCCCCTCCATTTCAACACATCTCAACAGTCAAGGCAACCGGTAACTCCAGCGCAAGGCACTGGGGTACATTAGCATAGGTCAACAAAGCACCAATTCATCCATCCACATGTAAACAGGATAAAAAGCCATGAAATTATATTCTTTATTTCCATTTTCCAGGTTTAGGGTAAGAATACTGGCTTCAGAAAGAAACAAAAGAAGGCCAAATAAACTTGTGGCATAATTGAACAGCAACCCTAGGTAACTACAACTCCACAGGTGAAACTCCAGGAAACAGCATCTCTACTCAAGTTAAATATTGCACCCCTTCTCTAACACGAGTTGAGAGGAGCAAGACATTTCACCTTAAGACAGCATCTAAGAGATTATTGGAAGTACAAGAATAGACTAGAAATAACCAAAGTTTCCTATTTCCAATGACACCAGTATAGCAAAATAGTCAGTTGAAAAATATTTACAAAGATATCTACACAACATGCCTAACAGCACTCAGAGGAGGCTCCGACACACTGGAATTGCTAACACCACCATTTCCTTCTTGAGGGCAGTTGTTCTCTCTGAAGAGCTGACTGGATCTCTCCCCCTCAGTCCTACTCCAATTAAGAGCCTTCTTGTTGGTCTTCAATCTTTGGAGCCAGGTAGTATTTTAAGTGTCCCATATCAGCAATCTTGTATTCCACAACTGGGGAAAAAAGCAAAAAAGAACAGAATTCAGAAGGTTCTTCAGAAAAGCTGTCCAGTCAGGCAGAGTTCTTAATGCAGTGCTAAAATGGCAGCATTCTACAAGATTTTTCAGGCAGAGCTGCTTCTACTTACCGAGAGGAACATCTGCAGACATGCTGAGTGTTACTGTAGGGGACAGGGGAGTGGCTTTGGTAAAAAAGTTCAAGTACCTCAGAGCAAAGGTCAATTGGACTGGCTCATTCATCTCTATTGTAACCTAGAAAACCATCAGCCAGGTTAGACATCAATAAATGCAACATCAAGTCCCCTCGAGTCTCTCAGGTAATGCAGATGCCTTGAGGAAAGGCAGTCAGTGCTACTCCCCACTCTGCTCTGCTGAGCAGGCCCCAGGGGTAAGGACCTAAAGGTGGCAACAATTCGCTGACTCTAATCCATAAACCAGAGGAACGCCCAACCCAGTGACCCAGCTTCAGCCCCCAACAGCTCACAGAATGTCATATTAGTAGAAACCTCAGCACTGAGGACCCCACAGTAGCCACGAAAGGTTCACTTACAGCTTCCTCCTCTTTATCCACATTACTGGTCTGCGACAGCTTGATGTTTCCATTTCCCAGCTCGCCATTAGCTGAGAATTTCACACCGTCTTTTGCGCAGGAGATGACAACTGCATCGCCGATGTGGCTGAGATCCCTGCAGATGCGCGCGAACTCAGCAGAAGGCATTTTCACTACACAACTGTATTCTTGTTCCTGCGAAGGAAGCGTCACAATGCAACTTCTACCTTGGTGCAGTCACTACACTTGAGCTGGTGCAGTCTTTCCAAAGGAAGTTATGTTACAAACTCAAACTCTAAGTCTGATGTGAACATGGGAAAACACCCATTCCTAAGAGACAGTACGGTATTCGAGCCACTACTTACGGGAATTCCAAGCTGCTCCACGTCAAGATCCATTAGCTTCATCTCATAATCAGAAACCTTTTCCTGATCTAAAGAAACAAAGCATAGTTTCACCAAGTGTTTCCAAGAAGTTTTTGTCCTGAACTTAAGTTTTGCCCTCCTCCCCCCAAGTGAAAACACCTCAATTACAACAGTAAGATTCTCCTTGCTTAATTAGAGCCAGAAATCTAGAAGTGAGCCAAACAGCCTTTTGTAGGCTGTAAGAAGACAGGAACCTGCCAGGGGCATCTGTGTGCGGCCTTGATCTTAGAAGGAAAATATTGGTCAAGTTGACAAAGCTGACATCTCCAGACCGTGTCAGGCATTTAATTATCACGTGACCCCTCCCATTGCTGAAGCATTTCTCCTTGCTTCCCCCATCCCAGCATCTACTTGGTCTAGAAATACTACCCCGAGTATCACGGCAGCAACGTTGTTCCCAAATCTTAACACTCACTTGGTGCTTCAAACACTAGCGCCAACGTATCCGCGTTGTCTTCCGCGCGGAGAGTTATGATGTCTTCGTTCCCAGCACATTTCAGTATTTTGGACATGCTGGGGGGAGGGGAAAGGTGGGTCGGTCACTCACGGCACGAGGAGCGGAGCAGGGCGGCGCGCCCGCTGCCTGCTACCCGGGCAAGCGGCACCCCCGGGCGGCGCGGAGCTC